TTACCGCATAGCTACAAAATGAGCTATATGCACAAAAAACCTGTCAACCCCATTTCCCAATCAATTAACAGAGTTTTAGTTTTCCTCTCGGTTATAAATGTTCCCGCTCTAGTCTCTGTTTTACTGACTGACCAATATATGACTCACCTGCCAGTAACACTGCTGCTTCATTTTCTCTGCTAAGTCTTGATAAACATAATTAAATACAAATTTAGTTACTCCATCCTCAATGTAGTCCTTCAAGAACTTTGATGTCAGATTAGCAGGGGAAGCTGTGTGGGCAACCAACCATTGAACACACTCTGCTAGCTGTTAACAAAAGACAATTAGATAAAGCTACCATCGAGATATTTAGTACAAGAATGGTGGGAAAAAAACAACAACAATTTTTTTTTCTTCCTGGAGTTTCCTACGAAGGTTTTATCAACTACATTACGTATGAAAGCTGTACACAGTTTTACAACTTCCTATTGTGAACAAAATTACTTCATAAAAAATAAAAAAAAATACTTTTCATATGTAAACACATTTTTTCATTCATACAAGATTCAAATTACTGTAAGTAAGTCAGCCTTAACAGGAACATTTGTAAGTATTATTCCTCACCTGTTGTGAAGCTTCAAGATGATGGATGTGACATCTGAAGATGGCAACAGTGTATTTGGGCAGAGAAGTGTCATTGAACAAGGACTGCTCATCAGGAATATCAAATTCTTCGTCAGACTGAACTACCAGGAAGTGGACTGGAACAAGTGGATTTGGTGGGAAAGAGGGCAACAGCTGTCTGGCCCTTGACAACCCCTCTTTAACAGAACCCTTTGAGGTACAAAAATTTAAATATTTCATTATTTTTACTTTGATCAGAATATCATAATTATAAAACCTACTAACTCATGCTCATTAACAAGGTGGCATATCTTCTAGTTAGTTATGTGATATTCAGTGAAGTCTAAATAATTAGATGTGTTCTTTACTTGACACATAGGCCTTATTTCTTCAGGGATGTAATGGAAGTGTAAAGTGTGAAAGTTAGTTATGTGATATTCAGTGAAGTCTAAATAATTAGATGTGTTCTTTACTTGACACATAGGCCTTATTTCTTCAGGGATGTATTGAAAATGTAAAGTGTGAAAGTTAATTAATTAATTAAATAATTAGATGTGTATTTCATATGGCATGTTTCACAAACTGCAACATTATTCTGCTCCTCCATCACTTGATAGATGATTAGATATAACGTTGTTGCTAAGATTATATGACACAGTAATTAAAACAAAGTTTTCTACAAATCAGATGTTAGTTTTAAAATGAATGGTGGAAACATGACAGTGATTTTAATGTAGACTGTCAACAACACCCACCACCAACTTTTATGCTATTCTAGTAAAATAAGAAGATTTGATTGTCACTCTTATGAAGCATCCATGGCAATGGAACTTGAACCGTGAGATGTTAACCACTAGGCCATGCCTTGTACTAAGAATAATTAAGGAAAGATTGAATAAATAATAATTAATGAAACAAAATATCAAAATAGTCTATATCTTAGAATACAGACAACAATTACAAAGGATTTAAGTGATTTGCTATTTTTTGTCAGTAAGTTATAGGCCTAATATAACTTTTAGCCTGTCTAAGAAGTCTATTTCAGAAGGTGTAAGTATCACATGTTATTTTTTTATGATAACAGGCAGTAACTCTGTGTAAACCATATGTTTAAAGTATTAGAAATTACTTTCTTAATGACATTATTTTGAATGTGTAATATCTGCTATTACCTTGTCTGCTGCAGATGTCATGGGAACCACTACGAGGAGAGCCGACATCCCACAAAGATGGTGCTTTATATCTGATGTATTCTTTACGTGGCCTTTAATGGACTTGACCGAAACTGCAACCTTGTCTTGTTTATCCAGCACTTGATAGATGCTCTGATTTAACGTTGTCACCAACTACAGAAGTGGTGTCAGTTTTCATCATTACAATTAGCTATGATACTACAGAATATAACCCATAATTAACTAAGTTGTTTACAGTTCTACCATGATTTTATGGAGCTTAAAAAAACTGTAATCTGTTTAATGAATTAAGTCAGTATATAATTACAACAAACTAGAAAATTTTATGCTAAATATTAACTGAACATTAAGTGTTTTTTTTAAATTCTAGAAAAATGAATGAGCTTTCAATGTGGGCCACTGTTTAATATCAGAGATACAGATGTTGACTTTCAATGTGGGCCACTGTTTAATATCAGAGATACAGATGTTGACTTTCAATGTGGGCCACTGTTTAATATCAGAGATACAGATGTTGACTTTCAATGTGGGCCACTGTTTAATATCAGAGATACAGATGTTGACTTTCAATGTGGGCCACTGTTTAATATCAGAGATACAGATGTTGACACATACCCCATTGGTTTTTAAATATAAATTTCTAAAGTTGTTTGTGGGTTCTTGAAGTTTGTTTGTTACATGGTCTCTAATAACACACGAGAAAAGCAAAAAATATGGAAATGAAAACATTGTCAACATTGCAAATATTTTAACGACAGTATCTTACATAGAAAATTAATGACTACATCATTCGTTTTAGTTAGTTCGTTACACCGAGTGTTGTAAATATAACATCACACATTATCACTGGTAAAATATAACATCACACAGTATCATTGGTAAAAAATATAACATCACACAGTATCATTGGTAAAAAATATAACATCACACAG